AGCAAGGTGAATGATGCTGGATCACAAAGTAATAGGAAATAGAGGACAAAACCTGTTTTTACCGAAGAGGTAATACTTGGTGAGGCTGGAATTGATAAGGGGTTTGAAGATATAGGGATAAATAAGAAGGATAAATATGTTGGAAAGCTAGGTGGGGATGAAGACTATTTGGACAGCTCAGATGTTGGGAGTGTAGACAGTGATGAAGAGTTAGACCCACTTGCTGAACATGTGTTGATCTTCTTCCTAGAAGAAGAAGTCAAAAGATCAGGTATGACTTTGATGCTAAAATTCCTCTATTTGAGTTGGGCATGATCTTTGATAATGCAACAGAATTTAGGAAAGCTATTGCTGACTATGCTATTCAATATAAAGTGTCTGTAAAGCTTAGACCTAATGAGAAAGATAGAGTAAGAGCTAAGTGTAGACATGAAAATTGTAAGTGGCAAATATTTGTTAGTAAGGACAGGGATTCAGGGAACTTTACTGTGAAGACTTATATACCTGTCCATAAATTCCCAACAAAGAACAAGAACAAACTTTGCACAACCAAGTACATTACAAGAAAGCTCCAAGATAGAATCATCTCAAGTCCAAACATCACAGTTCATGAGTTGCAAGAGGTTATAAGGGTTAAATGGGGTTTGTAAGTAGGAAGATCACTTGTATATAGAGCCAAGATGAAGGTAATTAGTCAGTTTATGGGTGACTGGAACCTTGAATTTTCTAGGTTGCTGGACTATGCTGACATGATTAAGTCCACCAATCCTGGAAGTTCATGTTGGGTGAGAACTAATACAGAAATAGTTCCTGGGAAACATCTATTTAAATACTTTTATGTATGCTTTGAGGCTACGAAGAAGGGATGGATGGCAGGTTGTAGAAGAATCATAGGTTTTGATGGTTGTTTCCTAAAGGGAGCTTGCAAAGGTGAATTGTTAGTGGCTGTTGGAAAAAATGGAAACAATCAGATGTATCCCATTGCTTGGGCTTTGGTAGATCAAGAGACTACACATTCATGGAGTTGGTTCATCAACTATCTCAAAACAGATTTAGAGTTGAGGAATGCTGAAGATTTAACAGTAATGTCTGACATGCAAAGGGTACTGTAATCCATTTATTATGTTGTTTGTTTCTTACCATTATTATTCTTACTTCTGGACTGTCATCTCACTAATATTCTATGCTGCTGTTGTATTGGTTAGGGACTATCATTTGCTATTGCTGATTTGCTACCCCTTGCTGAAAGAAGAATGTGTGCAAGACACATTTGGGCAAACTGGCAGAAAACTTGGAGGGGAGAGGAAAGAAGGAAGCAGTTCTGGAGATGTGCTAAGGCTCCTTTTCAGGTAAAGTTAAGAGAAGAAATGAAGAAATTGGATGAATTAGGAAATGGTATTTGTGAAAGTTTACTGTCCTATGACAAAGAATACTGGTGTAGGGCATATTTCAATGAGAATGTTAGATGTGATATTGTAGAAAACAACATGTGTGAAACATTTAATTCCTGGATATTAAGTCCTATGCATAAATCTGTCATCACTATGCTTGAAGAAATTAGGCACAAAATGATGAGTAGGCAAGTTGATATGATCAAGTTTGTTGAAACATGGGCTTCTGATATATCACCTATGGCAAGACTAGTTTTAGAGGAGAACAAGGAAATAGGAAGGAAGTTAAAAGTACAGTGGAATGCGGACACTGGATTTGAAGTGAATGAAGGCATGTATAGACACACTGTTGATATACAAAAAAGAGAATGCAGCTGCAGATTATGGCAGTTAAGAGGTATACCATGTCAACATGCAATATGTGCCTTTTATAAGATTGGGAAGGAAGCAGAAGACTATGTTGAACACTGGTATAGGAAAGATACTTTCCTGGCTGCTTTCCAATACTATATTCAGCCAATTCCAAGCATACAAATGTGGGCTGAGTCTACCAATCCATCAATTGAGTCTCCTGAAGTTAAACCAATGCCTGGTAGGCCAAAAAAATGCAGAAGAAAGGACAAGGATGAACCAAAGAAGTGGGAAAAACTGTCAAAGAAGGGTGCTAAGATGTCCTGTTCAATTTGCCATCAGGTTGGTCACAACAAGTCAGTATGTAGTTTAAGGGTAAGTTTGATGACTTTCAATTCAATTTGTTTCCATTGTTGTCATTGTTTTCATAGTACTTTGATTAATGACTTAGCAATCATATACTAGGGACAAACAAGCACAAGATCAAGCACACAAGTTGGTAGTCAAAGTAATACAACCCAAGCTGCAGGTACATCAACTACCACAACCCAAACTCCAAGGGCCTCATCTTCTTTGTGTGCTGAAACATCAAAGATAAGAAGGAACACACCATCGGTAAGAGGTAGGGGAAGAGGCGGTGGAGCTGGTAGGGGAAGAGGTGGAGGAGCTGGTAGGGGAAGAGGTAGAAGTTCAGTTGCTGGTACAACTGGTTCTGCTACATCTGGTGCAGCTATTTCTGCTACTGCCAGATCACTTGCTGCTTCTGTTGGGAAGAAAAGATCAGAAATTCTGGTTTTGGTTTGTACACAGACACACAAATAGGGACTAGTATCCTTAATGTAAGTGTGAAAAGTCAATATTAGTTAACTGTAATTTCTATCCTTATGCTTCTAGATGATTCATTACTGACTATAAGTATTTTCTACCCTGGTAGGACAAGTGAAAGAGTTATTTCAACTGGTGCAAACTTGATGAATGCTGCACAAACTAATGTAGATCTTGGATTTAGACCAAATGGTCTCAAGTGGAAAGGGAAAAGAGTTGTGACAGGGAATCAACTTCAAAAGCAAAGGGATGCTGCAGTTTCTAACAAAAAGATGAAAGTTGGAACCTCTACTTCATCTACACTAGTTGACTCTTGTCAAAGTCAAATTTAGGAAGAATTTTCTTGTATTTTGTTGGTCATGTGTATGAACCATACTTTGTGAAGTATTTTGAACCTACTAATGTTGGTCATTTGGTCATATGTATGAACCTTGTTTTGTGAAGTATTTTGAACATACTAATGTTGGTCATTTGGTCATATATATGAACCTTGTTTTGTGAAGTATTTTGAACCATTATTATGGGATGTATATGAACCTCCTTTTGTTAGTTTAGTACATTTCACATTATTGAACCTGCTTTTGTTGGCAGTATAATTTCTTGCTATTATGAGATCGAATGTATGAACCTTGCTGTCTAATTTTTTTGCAGAAACTAAAACACATTTGATCATTGAAAAGTTCATCATACACATTGAAAATTTCAACTACATTGAATAGGCAACATTGGCCATAAATCATAAACAATATTGCAGTAAAATAAAGGCAAAAAATACATTCCCATATACATATACCATACACCTAAATAATAGAAGATTCCCTCAAAAACCAAGTCACAATTACAATAACAAGCAGCCAAACCAAAATCCTCTGTTTCTTCATCAACTTCAACTTTTCTTCTTCATGATTTTTTACCCTCTTTAATAATCCATACATGACTTTGGTATAGTGTTCGGACAATTTAACATCATACCAACGAAAAAAATTGCATCCACCATTGCCAGCTTTTACAAATCTACAGCAATAAAATCTTCTACCCGGATTAAATGGTGACCGCGAAAGTTCTAAAGGAGCAATTTGGCCACAGTTGCAATTAACAACAGGTTCCATTGAAATAGAAGAGGTAGAGAGAGAGAAGAAAAGAAATTTTGCTGCTTTGCTAAAGAGGAAGAAGATATACGTGGCTGGGTAGATACATTTTTAGGGTTGAGTTTGGGTATTTAAATTAGGGAGTTCATTAAGGGTCTTTTTGGAATTTCACAAAAAAACTATTATATTACCGTTGTAATTACCTACACATGTGCGATTCCGGAGGTGTAACACACGCGACGGGGGCGGGTGAGGTCGGGTGTTTATTAAGTTCAGTTTTTAAACATGTGATATGTTTAAGTGAAAAGATCTCAATTGAGGTGTTCAACTGACCGTTGTGGACAACTTGGATAGGCTATTTATGTATTTCGCCTAGAAAGAAAAAGAATTGATTTCATTATGTGAAAAGGCATATGCCCCAACCTTTGGTGCCAAAACAAGTCTGCTTTGTTAATTGCAACAGATGGAATACAAAAAGGACTAAGGGGAAGTGGATTGTTAACAGAAGCAGAAACATTACACGTACTATCAAAAGGGAAAGAAACATTACATGTATTTCTAAACCATAATTGTGAGATGAATCAGTAGCTTCAATGTGAAGAAAATATAGTGCATGTGCTGATTTACCAATTTTAAGTGGCCTCTCAGAACAGGACCTTGTAAGAAACAATTGGAATTGGTAAGTATTGCATAACAGCGGAGTTGACAGATGATTTGATAAATGAAAATAAAATTGAACTAAAAAGAGGGGACAAGTAGGACATTATGCAAAGTTATATCAATCCTAAGATCCAAGGAACCAGTTGATATAACCTTAACCTTATATCCACTAGTCAAAGTAATTAAGAATCATTTGTGCAATGGTTGTAAGTTGTGAAGAAGATGTTTTGTGGGGTGTCATATAGTTAGTGGCCCCTGAGTCTAATATCCAAGAACCAACACTTAGCTGAGTGGATGCACGGACATGATAACTATCAGAATTAAAAACAATGCTACTAAATAAGCTAATAAACCTGTAAAATGTGCATAACCAGTATTTTCCTTTGATGACATATCATCATGAGGACCAGAAGAGACATGTGTTTGCTGCAGGAGTTTTATGAGGTGTTGGTATTGTTCTTGAGTAATCCCATGAGCTGCATGTTCAGTAGGATGGAAATCAGAAGTTGGAGTAATGTGATTCTCAGCTTGAACACAAGAGGCAGATCTTTTAGATTTGGTGAATTTAAAATTAGGAGGAAAGCCATGTAACTTGTAGCATTTTTCAACTGTATGTTCATGCTTCTTTCAGTACTTGCATGAGATAGAATGCCCTTGCTTCTTTGTCTCAAAATTGACCCTCTGATTAAAATTCTCTAACCTCCCACAGGTGCAGAATTAGCAGAAAATGATGCAGAATCATTGGAGAAGGCCAACGAGAATGAAGAAGATGAAGACTCCATTGTTTTTCATCATGTTGTAACATGGAGTATGCTTTACTAACAGAGGGAACATGGGACGAGAGTAGAATGTTGCATTTTACTGAAGAATAGGATTCATTAAGTCCACTTAAAAATTGATAGAGTTTTAATTCTTCCAGAAACTTGGGCAAAGCTCCACAAGAACAAACAGGACCTACATATGTAGTATGTAGTTCATCCCATAGACTGCGTATTCGAGTAAAATAGGTAGCTATGTCAGAACTGCCTTGAGACATCAAGCAAATTTCTTTTTGAATATGAATGAACTTGGACCCATTGGACTGCCCAAATCTCTCATTGATGTCTAACCAGATCTCTCTAGTAGTGTCATATCCCAAAACATTGATAGCAATATCCTTGGATAATGAATTGCTGATCCAAGCGATCATCACATCATTGCGTCTCTCCCAATGAGGATAATATGGTGAGTCAACAGAAGGTCTAGCGTGTCTACCATTGATGAAGCCTAATTTGTTTTTGGTAGATAGGGAGCATGGGATGCTCTTACGCCATGACACAAAATCAGTCCCATCGAAAGGTAGAGAGACTAAGTGAGTACCAGGGCGATCAGAAGGATGTATGTAAAAAGGATGTGATGGATCTATAGTAAAAGGTGCAAACACTTCGGATGAGGTAGAGGGTATCACAGTATCACTATCAATTGCCATTTTTACAGAGTTCTATCGAAAAGTACAAATGTCGGAGCAATTTAGTAGTACGAAGCAACACAATCAAAATTCACAACAAGGTGAACCAGTATCGAACAATCGAAGCAAAGAAATCCATATCGAAGGTCGAAAATTGATGCATAATCTCAAAATTAGGGCTTGGACTTTGTCGAAGAAAAATTCATAAATCAGTTGCGAGGGTAATGCCGGACTGACAGGATGATAGGTCTGAAGCTTAATTCCCGCTCTTTTACCATGTTATGATACAGATCAACCCAGTTATGGTGGAATTTTCATGGAAGGAAAACCCTACTCTCGTATGAGAGAAGAGAAGGAACTGGAAGTTAGAGAGAGAAATATCAGGTGAAAAACAAATTAAAATGACTGTCCAACTTTATTATTCAGCATTTCTTTGTTTATATAGTTACACTTGAGATGACTATCTATGTAATGATACAATGACTATTTAAGTAATGTAACTTGGCTAAAGTATGAAATATAAAATGAATTACAAGTTGGGCTTGACTACTTGCGGCTTCAACTTAACTCTTATTGCTTCCTATAGTTCATCTTAATTGCCTTTAAACTTTTAGCATATCAGTATAAAAGTTCATTAAGTAACATTAATTATAAAAATTTTGTGATTAAATTATTCTTTATTTTTCCTCAAAATGAGTTAATAACTGTTGAGAATCCTTTTCGATAATTGTGTAAATTATTTGTTGCAGCAAGAATAAATATGAAAATAATAATTAGATGTTTTTTTTAATTATATAAATGAAATTCATTTATTTTAAATCAAATCGTTTAATTATAAGGATACTTAAAATGAATGAATCGAAGATAATAAAAGTGAAATTTGTGCTAAAAGCATAATAAAAAATGTCGTTATAAAGACAAAGAGCCCGTTTGGATTGGCTTAAAAAAAGTGGCTTTTAAACATAAGTCCTTAAAATCCCTTTTTAAGTGCTGGAGCTTGTTTTATAAATAAGCAGTTACGTGTTTGGATAAAAGTGCTGAAGCTGAAAAAAAGTTGTTGAAGTGTTTGGTAAACAGGTGCTGATAAGCACTTTTTTTTTTGTTAAAATGACCGAAATATCCTTAAAGTTATTAACATTATAATGAAGAAGATTACTATAATATTTTATTCTAAGTTGACGCATATACAAATAATTTATAATTTATAATTTAATTCACTTTCAATTTAAATTGACTGCCTAAATATAAATTATTCATTTAAATAACATGCAATAATTAATTATTTGTCAAAAAAGTGTTTTTCGTTTATAGCTTCAAATTCTGGGGTAACATATAAACTCATCGAATGATTTGATTTAGAATATAGTAACATCAATTAAAAAAAAGGAAGGATTCAACGACCAAAAAAATTATTATGGAACCAAAAAAGAAGTTAAAAGAATAATATTTACAAAATATTGAAATGGATCAAACATTGATTTATAAAACTACTGTTTGCTTCACGTTAAGAACTTCACTAAATTGACAAATTTTTGAGAATGACAGCAGCAACGGCAAGATTAAAATGGCGATTGGAACTGACACGGGGATTTAATTTGTAAGGGAAGGGTAGTTTTGGGGTTTAGAAAAAGTGAAAGGGATAATAGGGTAAATTACTTGGTCAAACATAAGAAGCTTTTAAGCTAAAAAGTAATAAGTTGGGCGTTAGCTTGTTTTGAGTATTTCAGCTTAAAAGCAATTGGCTTAAAAGCATTTTTATGGTCTATCCAAACACTCAAACAAGCCCAAAAATACTTTTTAAGCTAGTTTGATCAACTTTTAAGCCAATCCAAACACCTCAAAGAAAAAAAGAAATATATACCCTACCTAAAGACGACTTTGGAAAAACGCCAACGTTGGACTTTTTGTTTAGTCCTCTGATTCGCGTTGTCTCTTCCAGAATCTTCGAACAAACGCGGCAAATAACAAGATTTTTCTGAAGGCAACCCAATACCTATTTACCAATTTTCTCCCCCCTCAAATAAAGGGAATTAGACATCCAGTACTATAATATAAAGAGTTTCAGATTCTTGTGTTTTTTTTTTTCCTTGAAGAAATTTTATTGATAAGTTTCTCTGAACTGAGACGTGTATAATTCAATGGGGACACCAGCATTCCCAAATCTTGGAAAGCACTGTTTCGTGGATGATTGCCGGCAGATCGATTTCTTGCCTTTTACTTGCGATTGTTGTCACCAGGTTCCCTTTTTCTTCCTTTGTAATTGCAATTTATTTTGCATTTTAAGCTTTATTTATTAAGTATTTTGTATTTGATTAAAGTTGATATCTTTTTCTGTATAGGCGAGACCAGTTAGTTGAGATTAAACTTTGTTGTTATTGTGGTTACACTCAGGTTAGGTGCATTTAGTGTTTGAAGAAGTCCTTTTAGTTTGGCTATAGATTTGTAAGTTACTGTAGGGTTACTCTGAGATTTAAGAATCTAGTTTGTCTTAAAAAGACAAATTATTGATTATTGAAAAGGGACGAGCTGCGTACACACTACCTCCCCAGATCCCAACGTGCGGGAATATACTGGGTTTGTTGTCGCTGTTGAAAAGGAATGGGCTGAATAGAGTGGAATTGATTTAGAGGATTCATATAGCTGCCCCAGCTATTTTGGTGTTGAAGCATAGTGGATCCATTAATCAAAGTTAAGATCTTTTTGGTTGCAAGCTGCATTAGAAGATACTACTCTTAGAGTACGCGCGTTGCGCGTGTATCTTATATCAACAAATAAAAATTTTATAAAAATTACATAGATATTGTTATTGACAAAAGTGTCTGAATTATTAAATAAAATTTATAGAAAATCCAAATTCCTGAAATAAATGATAAATGTTAATTACATTTATCGAACTCAATAAAAGATCTCTGCTCCACAAATACCTTATTATTTGGACTTTTGTTAGGGATAGAATTAAGTTCTCCCGCCATCCTTTCTATGTAAATCCGGTGATTATCATGATAAAGAGATTGTACATGCTAATAAATGTTGTTACTTCCTTGAGCTCAATAGTGATGGGTAATATTAGCAACAACATATCGAAACTATGACAAACTAAAAAAAATTCAATGACAACACTTTTGAAAAATATTTAATTATTATTTTCTTAAAAAAGAATAGCTTATATTTTTAACATTACCAGCCTTAAATTTTTAAAATTTTAGATCCTGAGTATGATTTTCTTTAAGTTTCGTCTCTTGATATCTTGAAGTAGAACACTTCTACTATCACCTGGATTATTATTGTTTCGTGTGAATTCCTAAAATTATGAGTTATTGTGAAAATTAACTTACTCGATTTATACAGGTAATCTTACTGGGATTACATTCCTAAATATTAGGAGTTCCTATATAATTCAAATAAGAAAAAATTTAGTTAATTTCAACATCCCAAATATTAAAAATATTAATTAAACGATAATTTTGTCCAATATAAAATTTAATTTTAAATGATAACAAAGTCAATCAATTTCACGTTGAAGTTTTGAGTTTTTATAATAGTCTAGATTGATTGAAGAAGAAAAAATTAAAAGGAACGTGAAACATTATTTTCCTTTATATTTAATAGTGTTTAATTTTAGTCTCATATTATTTATCACATTATTAAAATAAATAAAATTAATTTGTATCAAATACTAAATGAAGTAAGACTGCTCTTCAAAAAATTACTCATTAATGTTAATAAATTATTTTGTTCACCGTAAATGCAATTTGAGTACCAGTAGGATTTCACTTTCCAAACGCAATGTAAAAATTACTTCAAACGAACTCTATAAATTTTGTATTAATATTTCAAATGATTGAATTTAAAAACTACTTCAAACGAACTCTATAAATTTTGTATTAATATTTCAAATGATTGAATTTAAAAACTACTTCAAACGAACTCTATAAATTTTGTATTAATATTTCAAATAATTGACTTTTTAAACTTATATTTAAGCCAAAATTTTAATAGATTATAAGTCGTAAATTTTAGGTACTTAGTTTAAATGAAGAAAGATTTAATAACCAAATTTCAATGAATTTATAGGTCCTAAATATTAGGAAAGTAATTAAATGACTATTTTATCCATTGTAAACCCTATTTTTAAGGGGTAAAAAAGGCAAACGACATTTCACTAAGGGGCTTCGTGCTTTTAATATAGTATTGATTTGCTGTTTTTGGTTTGTGTGCGTACCTTTTTCTTTTTGGGGGTTTGAGAGCATAAAAGTTTGATCTTGATGATACTACAACAACCAGTGGCGGAGGCAGGATATTTGCGAAGGGGGTTCAAAAAATTTAAAAGTCAAATACACAATGAAGCTAGCCAACCAAAACCAAAAAAAAAAAAAATATAGATGCTAACAGATTTTATTAATAGAAAGAGAAGTTCTCAACACAAAGATAGTGTTAAGATAAACATATCATAGTAACAAGACTTTCAAAAGAGAAAATACAAAAAACAAGTCTTGTGTTAGTTACAAGGACCTAATGACTAATGAGATCAACAAAAAACAACTAAGTACATTATTACAACTGCACTCGACGAGGTTTCATATCTTGAAATGTTTTAATAATAGCATCATTAGAAATACTATCAAACACAATTTTTTCTACATAAGGCACCAAACAACCGCTAAAGAATTCATCATTCATTCGACTTCGTAAGTCATTCTTGATAACTTCATCGCCGAAAAAGCTCTTTCAACGGATGCAGTAGCAACGGGCAGAAGCAAAGCAAGTTTCACTAAGCGAAATACAAGAGGATAATTTGAATGCTTCTTTGTCTGAACTAATCTTTTTGAAAGATCACAAAGCCCATGTAGATCGGAGAATCTTTCATCAANATTCGTTTTATTTTCCTAATTTCACGAAAGGAAGAACTCACTCTTGTTGATAAAGGCTTCTTGATTCGTAATCAGGAATATAGGTAAAAAAAAGAGTTATCCTCAACTTTAGTTTTGATTCTTTCCACAATTAGATCTTCTATCACCAAA